GGATCATAATAACTTCCTTACTTTTGTTATTGAATCGTCCGTCCCATTATATTTTAAGATGTTTGCAGATCATGTAGATCATTCTCAACTACTTTTTAAAATGGATGACGACGATAATATAGATGATATTCCTGGCTCGCCTTCTAAATTCGATGAGCAATTCGGTGAAGTAGTGGATGAAGAGAGAGATAAAATCCAAAGGTTGAATATGAGACATCCTCATTCATCAACTGCTGTCAGAGATTATTTGAATAAGACTGTAGTTTCAAACTTAATTGCTGGAATGAAAAAATTGGTTATAGAAAAGTAAGAATTTCAAACATCTATTGCTTGTATTAAACGTTAATCAATGTATTAAACATTAATTTGTTATCTATAATTCATAAAAATAATATTAATATTATATACATATCACTCAATAAGACCACAAAATCCTTGTGAATTTCTAGGTAGATATTTGATTGAACATTGTGATCATAATCACGTCAAAGAGGAAAATTTTAAATATGAAAAAAAAAATATTATCACACAAGAGAATAATAACAATTTATCACCACATAATGAACATCAAAAATCTCAAAGTGAAAGTGATTCAAGCATGATGGACATCGTGGATGGAAGTGCTGGTGCTGGTGCTGCTTCCGCTTCTGCTTCTGCTTCTGCTTCTGCTTCTGCTAGTGGTGGTGGTGATGGTGATGGTGATGGTGATGATGGCAATGATGATGGTAATGAAGATAGCAGTGTCAGCGGTGGTGGCAATAGTAATAAAGATATAGATATTGACATTATGAATTTAAATTTTCTTACAAATTAAAGAGAAGAAAATAAAGATTGATATTTATAAATGAATCCAACCATTTATTTATTTATATGCCTTGGTAAAATTTATTTTATTTATTTGAAAAAAAAAACAAACTAAAATATCCAAATTTCAGAATCCACCACTTATATTGATAATATTATATATATAAATGAACACAATTAATTAATAAAACATCATGCATGCACAGCGAGTATTACTTCCTTTGCAAGTTGATAAATAGAACGAAAAGGAGGTTCAATTCCAGGAGTCAATTCAATAACATGGTCGATCTTTCTTTGAGCGGAAGAGTGTCTGGAAATACATCAGCGAATTTTTTTATTATCACCGAGGAAAAATTAGGAGCAACATATTAATATTAAGTTATAATATTAAGTTTAATACTTTACCATATTTAACAACGCAATCATTTTCGTAATAATTCATAAAATTTACAAAATAGAGTTTATCATTGATTTTTCTTTATTATTTTCATTCAAAAATAACATAGAAGTTTTTACTTGGGCTGAGCTCTCCAATGAAGCTCTAAAAAAAAGTAGCTGCAGACATTGCTAAAATACGAACTGTTAACGAAAAAACCGAAAAAAGATTATTGACAAAAACACCGTGCTGATTTCAACAGGCTGTGAGTTTGAGAAAGAGTTATAAGAAAGAGATGCACAGGTGTGCAAGATGGACGAGAGGTAGAAATGAAAGAAGGTCTAGGAATACTAGTTCATCCATTGACCACCATTTTGTAAAGATTCTCGTTAACAGCATTGGAGCAAGGTCCATGTGTTGATTGAGCCAATGCCAAACGTTTATAATAAAAGATGAAAATGTATTCCTTCTGAAATGGCAAAGAAATTTGTGTCAAAATGTAATCCTTCACGACAGGCTAAAAATTAAATGACATAATAATAAGTCAGCATCTGAAAAGAAAGTCACTTAACAAACCATCTTGTTTTACAATTGTCAGATAGGGTGATGAAAAGTCACCGATGCTAGCATTCGAGGAGGTTGTATTCCCGGGAGAGCTTTGAAAGAACATTGATATGAGATAGTGTTCATGATAATAATCGGATATAGAAGACTAATAGAATAAATAGAGCTGGATCCTGAACTTATGAGGCATGTGTCTTACCGGTGAATAATATATGAAGTTAACTATCAGATAAAGAAAAGAAAGCCCTGAAATTTGAGTGACAATTAAAAAGCTGTATAAGGAAAATGAGTCAAGACTTTGACTTGAGCTGCAAGAGTCAAGTCTTGAGTATCCATAAGTTTTCGTCAATTTATTTATTTCGTAAAATATTGATTTTCGAATTATTATTACTCGAAAACCATCAAGCGAACAAAAATTTGCTAATAGGTAAAAAAGTCAAAGTATTCCCAATTATCCACTTATCCAAATTAAATCATGCATAAGACGATTTGTTATAAGAAACAACTTAACACCCACAAGATTGATTATCACACTATTTTTCATGTTTTTTAAAGTCAATGCATTTATTTCAACGAATTCTGCATCTGAAATATATATAATAATAATAGGGACACCTGGATGTCAAATTGGAAATAGACCAGATATCCAGAATCAGGATTATTTATATTGAGCAATTTAATAGTCAGATACAAATTTTTGTGTATGGATGATTGACAAACATCCAGATGTTTGACGGATATAACCAATCACTCTTTCTTAAAAACAAAAGATCCAAGACAAAGGAGACATTTCTCCAGATCAGCGAAATTTGATTTTTGCAGGAACACAATTATAAGATAATAATAAAAATGAATCCACTCTTCATTAGTTTTTTCTCAATAAATAATATTCATTATTGTTATTTTAGAAAGTTATTATATAATTACATTTGGGATTTGTCTATCACATCCAAATTCATCACTTTCATCTCTTATTCTGGATATACTTGGTGTTATTATCAACTCCAGGAGACTGAAATACCAATCCAACAAACAGCTCCAACTATTGTAGCAAAATTTGTTGAGACTATTAATTTACGAAATATTCGGATCATTAACATAAATTTATTATATAACGCTCCTGTACGTAAGTCGAACAGAAGTATAGAAGATAGTTCAAATATAGATTCAGAATAAATATAATATTACTTTTGCATGTGTATTTCTGGAATGTATTTTCTTGGTAAATTTGAACAACCTGAGGTCTGGAAAATTTCTTGGCAAATTTTTCTCGCTTCTAGATATCTTTTGCTTAACCTTGGTAAAAGATCAATTCCTCTAAATTACATTAAACGATTTCCAAACTCGTTCTTTCCACTCTCCAGTAGTTTACATGTCAATTAACTGACACACCATATATCCTTGAGTTATTACAGGTGTACGAAGGCTTGCTCGTTTGAATCAATAACTAAATTTTATTTGATTTGTGCCCTGATCAGTTGAATTGAATTACTATATGTTCTTTTCTATTAAATTATCAAGTGTTATAATATTCCATTTCTAATATTTGAATTACTATAATAATAAAACTGAAAATTTTAAAGCAAGCATCGAATCTATTATGTTTATCTATTAAATCATAAATATATAGTCATAAATTTGTTTAATCAAAATAATTTTTACCAATCTTTTTAATTAAAATTTAATGTTTGTCATCATCAGTTGTTATTATTTTATGTAAAATTTAGGATTCTCAATTTTAATTCATTTATCTTCTACTAATTACTATATTGATGCTGTTTTCAAATTGGAATATTAATTTGCACCATTGTTTGTTAACTAGAACACATATATAATCTTGGACATATTTTTGATACTTCACTTGATAATAATAGTCTGGATGTCAAAGTTGAAATTGACGTTTTTTTTTTTTTTTAAAGAAAATTGAAAATTTTAAAAGTTTGCTGCTATTATCTTAAGTAAAGATCATCAGGTTTTTTTTTTCAAAAATTGATAATTCGTAGGTTTGATTGTATTAGTATTAGTATAATATATGGCATCAGCAGTAAGTTTACTGGATAGTGGTTCAACAGAAATAATTAATCCAGATATTTATTTTCAAATCCATTTTCCTCCAAAAAATTTAAAAGAGAATGAAAATAAAATCCAAGAATTTGTTGATAAACATCAAAAAAATGGCAGAAGAGTTGCATTAGTTACAGTAAGTTTTTGTACACTTACCTAATTGATTGGTTAATTAATTAATACCTTTGCCAATACAATCAGTATTTAATTAATTTAATGTAGAGTGGAGGAACAACAGTACCACTTGAAAATAATACAGTGAGATTTTTAGATAATTTTAGTGCTGGAAGTCGTGGTGCAATTTCTGCTGAATATCCTTTATTTTCTTTACTATTTTGATTTAATTTTTTCCTAATCACCTACCTAATTAACAATTAATTAATCAAATTATAATATCATTAACAATTAATCTATTAAATAATAACACGTATTTTCTTGAAGCAGATTATGCTGTCATTTTCATGCACAGACAATCTAGTTTACAGCCTTATAGTAGACATTATACTCGTACAAGTAATAATTTTTTGGATTTGTTTAAATTAAAAGATGATGGAAGTGTTTCAGGTGAGAAAGAAATTTGGAAGTGATTTTTTTTTAGTTATTTTATAAGCAATAATAAAAAATTATTATTGATAGTTAATGATCAAGATCAGCAAAAAATGAAAATAATCTTGGAAAAATATCAAAAAGTAAACATCTAAATTTAAAAAGTTAAATTTATTTTTCAAATCAAACAATTAATCATATATATATATAATAAAGTTTAAGCAGGAGGAAACACTTTTATTCATAGATTTTGTAACTGTGACAGATTATTTGTTTCTTTTAAGAAGTGCTACTCAAATTATGGATAAATTAAAGGAGAATGCTATGTATTATCTTGCTGCTGCTGTTAGCGATTTCTTTATTCCAATTCAAAAAGTGGTAGGCTTGCATATTTTAATATTATATATATATCATTATTTATTTATTTATATCTTCATTTGTTGTTTAGTCTCAACATAAAATACAATCAGGAGAAGGTGCTTTAACATTAAAGATGGATCAAGTTCCAAAATTTTTAAAACCAATGGTAACAAATTGGGCACCTGAAGGCTTTATAGTTTCTTTTAAGGTAATGTTTTCAATGTTTAAATTTATTTTCCAAATTTTTCACATTTAAAATTATTAATATGCATATATTATTCTTTTAAAAAAAAGTTAGAGACTGATCCATCACTTTTAGTTGAAAAGGCAAGAAAAGCCTTAACAAGATATGGACATCAAATTGTTATTGCCAATCTTTTAATGACACGTAAAACTGAAGTAACTTTTGTCACCAATGATTCAGAATTAGAAATAAAATTAGATGAAAAGGAAATATCAAATGAAAGTGAAATCGAATCCAAGATCATTCCAGAACTAGTAAAACAACATGAGAAATGGATAAGTAAAAGTTAATAATTGAATTATTAATTTTAAATATTTATTTATTTTGAGTAATAATGTTCGGGGGGGGGGTAAAGACATAATTATTGGAATTTGTAATTTATTCTTATTTCTTGAATAAGCAATGATTTTTTATTTTTAAAATAATGTAAATCAATATAGTCTAACTTTGAATATGTATTATTAATATTAGTGTTCAATAAATTATTTTTTTTTGGAAGGAAAATTATCACTAAAATTCTCCTAAAGCATTCATCATTGCAATTGAATTATCTTCAGAATTAATAAATATTTTTAGAATTTTTGACACGTGAGTATTTCAAAGTTGGTGAATCTACAAATTCGATTTCATTGTCACCATCACTATAATTGCAGTAACCATCATCAATTGAATTGGTCTTGATTGGAGAAAGGTTTGCATTCTTTGCTAATAATTCTAATGGTGGTAGCAGCAATGTAGTAGTTATTGTTGGCAATGGTATTGATAATGTGCTAGTATAATCTTTTTCATGACAAGAATTAGTGATTATATCTCGAGTTGATATTTTAGTTGCTTGGTTTATTGGCAGATTATTTGAATCATTATTTGAAATAGAATTTAATTCTGTGACATTTATAGAGTATAAACAATTATCTTGAGAAAGATGTTTTGTGTTTGATGATTGATCATCATCATTGTCAATATCAAGACCATCATCATTGTTATCATCTTGAATATGCTTTTCTTCTATATTATGGATTTCTTGATTTAATGTCATGAAATCTGATTGAAAAGTGTTTTCATTATCTTTTAACCATCTTAAATCTTGTTTTAAAAAATTTACATCCAACTGAAGTCTAGCATTTTTTTTTTCAAGATTATGAATACGTCGATTGATTTCATCCTGTTTATTTCATTTTTAGTAATTGTAATTATCATGCATGTTTATATTTCAGAAAAGAAAATTCAAAAGAAAGATGTTTGCTTTTTTACCGACCCGTTCTTCAACATTTGAATCTGTTTGCAATTATTTAATCAATCAATAATTTATTAAAGATTGGTCAAATTTTTTATAAAAGCAAATTTGTACATACATAATGCTTTTGATTTTCTTTTGTTATTTTTCCCAATTAATTTCAATTTGTCTTTTTTTATTTTTGTGGATTTGATCTTTTTATTGTTCAAAATGGGATCTGAATCACTGTCAACGTGGCTATTGTGTTCTATTAAACCATTATTGAAATTTGAACTTGATAATGATTTTGATTTGGTTTCTGTATTGCTATTTAATGTGGCAGTTGAAATGGTTTTTAGACTGTATAATAAAGTTCCTGAATTATCATCCTGTTGTTGAATAATATCAGATGTGGTTGATTTATGAGAAATGCTATTGTTCTCTATTTTTGTCAAGTTATCATCATTGACATCATCACTTTTACTTCTCAAAAAATCATGCCATTTTAATGAATCCGAACTGATAGAAGGTGCTATCAAAGTAGTAGCAAAATTTCTTACTGATGATATTGAATTAATATTTGTAAATTCTCTTGATGATGAATGTGGTGATGGTTCGGGTTCCTCATATAACACTTTATTCTTTTCAGGTTTATTTCTAAATTTATTTGCAAGAATAATATAATAATTGGCATTCAAATATTTTAATCAATATAGATCAAATAATCAATCGATCGATCTTTACTTTTTATGTAAACCATTGTCACTAATATTTCGGTTTTCAATTGGGTCATGAGCATCACTACTCTCGCTTTTCTCTAATAATAAATAAATAAAAATAAATATGATTTTATAACAGAAATAATGATTAAATTCAAAAAGTATATATTAAATTGATTTTTTACCTGATCTTTTTAAAATGTTCTATACATACATATGTAGGGGGGATTAAGACCAAATGTCAATATTTAATATGCTATAAGATGAATATTTCATGATAATAATAAGAATATTGTTAAATACTGTAATAATTGAAGAAATATTAATTCCTGCCCAATCATCATTGTCTTTTAGTAGATGTAATTTACGATTTTCAATATCTTTTAAATAATAATAATAATAATAATAAATTATTAATATAAATTACAAGAAAATATTTCAAATGATAATGTAAAAATATTAAAAATATATAACCAGAATCGATATTTTTTTGTTGCAAGCTTGTGTCAGTTGCTAATTTTTCTTTAGTGATCAAATCAAAAGCAGAATTAATTTTATGATCATTTATTAAAATATTTGCTTTCGAATGTTCAAGATCAAATAATATTGATGATGGTAACGATTTAGTTGTTATTTTATGATCAAGATAATTTTTATCTTCCATCATGTTGTGATTATTATTTTGTTTTCCCGATATGAAATTATTCTTTGAAAGCTGTCGATTAAAAAATTCACGTTGTTTCTCTTTTTCTGTTTTTAATTTGAAATTATTTCTAATTATATGAATAATAAAAATAAATTAATGATATTTTATATTGCAATTAATTCACACACATATTTATAAAAAATTAAAACATTTATTTATTCTAAACCTTTTGCTTCCAGTCCAATTCATATTAATTATAATAATATGTACCGATTGTTTGAAAAAAATTAGGACGAGTTTTTGTTGAATTCAGGTTACACCATTTTTAACCAGACCTTTAACAAAAACAAGTCTATAACACGATCATACAATCTATATTTTAACAGGTTCTTTTTTGGATTCTACCCAGAGTTTAGGACCATCAGAATGCCAAAACAATCGTCTTGCCTTATAGTTGATTTAGCCATAACCACCAGAACGATTTACTTTACGAGAGTTATGCAAAAATTCAGCATATCTATATTATCATATAATGTAATCAAACTTTGCGAAGTGACTGAAATTTAAAAATTAGCAATCGTGCAGACATAAAACTTTGTTAATGATGAAATTACAATAAACACTATCAAGAATTATATTATTGTTGTAAGCATAATGCAATAAAAAGTATTATACATATGCTATTAGAATATTTTAAAGCATCATAAGCCCTCAAAACTTTATAGGGTGATGTATCAACAGGCGATTCATTTATGCAACATGAGTTTTAGTAAAAGGAATGATCTTCTTCATTACTAGATAATAGTCCATTATTCGACTCTGTCATACCAAAAACAAAGTAAGCATGTGAATACATAAAAACAAATGCATCAAAAGCTGTCAAAATTTATACCTTAAATAAATAAACATTTTCGATGACTTCTCTCAAGATATACAATTGATCCTTAGTACTTGGTATACTAAATTCTTTTATAATATCAACAACGTGTAAACCTCCATTTGTTTGATGCATTACATAAAATGTAAACATTCGTTCTAAGATTGATAAAAAGAATAAGGATCAATAAAATATATGGCCCTAAATCTATGTTACTTACGGTAGACAATAATTCCGTATGACTCTATAGAAGATACTTGTTGTTCTGTTGCTCCACGTGATAAATAGTGTTGACGTTGGTAATAAATGGAAATTTGCATACACTTAAACACTTTTTCGGTGTCTTCATTTAATTTTTTGACATCAGTATAAAGAGCGTTGCCGATAACTTCTAAGAATCCTACTTCCAAAATAATAGCATTTACATTTATTGAGTATATCCCGTCCTGAGAACACCCAATGCTAACCCGTTGCCGATATTGTCGAGTTTCGTTTCTTTGAGCTTTGTTTGATTTGTTTTCTACCTCCCCCCTATGCAAAAGACAACCTGTTGGTCACCAAAGGCATAAATAATAAATAGAAATTTTTCTTAATTTAAAACTTACGTTTTTACTTTGACTAAATCCATAATGTCGTCGAAAGCTTTGACAATTATAGGATTCACAAAATTTTCTCGGTAAGAAAGTTCGTTTTGATCTGGATCCTGTAGTAAGTTAGTGGGTGCATTGAAAAGAAATAGACTAAAAAATAAATAGTACAAACTTGAATTAAATGTCACAAATGGAAATAACACTAGTTACGAATATTTATACTCACAATCGTTTATAAATATCCTGTATCCATAAAAGATCATAATGTTCTTTGTGAATAAAAGTTCCAATATACGGTTTCTCAAGAACATTTTCGATAGTACCATCCAAGGAAATCACATCAAAAACAGATTTATTTTCCAAGTGGGTTTGGTACTTTTGTATAAGAGGCTGTAGAACATTTTCCCATTTATTTAGGCGAATCGTCTTTACTTTTCCTGACGGTTCTAACTATGAAGGGCAAGCAAAATTATTAAATTTTCAACATGAGATGTTAAACTTACAAGCAAACAATACAATACCGAGTTCCAAATATCTTTTAAGATGCGCTTTTCGGATTTTGACAACTTATTAACGGGATTTGTAACATTTCGTTCTGAAAGATTAATGATTCGATAATCAAATAGACGATATTCTATAGATCTTATTTTTTCGACTATTTTACGGATTTCCTCCATTACATTCTGTAAAGTCTGTGAAGATAGAACATAGGTCAGATAAGGTATGCTGTAATCTTAAAATTATGCAAATAAGCATTGTTACCTCCTGAGATAAATGGATGCTTTTTAGATAGATATCTTCTTCAGCATTATCGTTAATGTTATCATCATAAATCTCTTTATAAATTCGCCCATCATTCGAATCTGAGAACTCTTGAACATGTGATTTTTCATTATCGCACTGTTATGGTTCATCCTTGTGTTATGACACGTCAAAATGGCTTATAAAGGACATTATTGCGAATTAGAATATAATTACCTCCTGGATCCAAGGGGGATGAAAGCATTTGACGAAGCACCTAACGAATAGATTTGATCTGGAGGAGGATGTGGTGGTTGGTCCATTTTTTTCCGTTTCGTTTGGACCCGTTCATCAGTCTGAATGAAACGTTCATTCTTAATAATATAGAGAATACAATAATGAGTACACCGTCTTAGTCAGTATCATGCACAATTTTATCCATACCAGAGCTCCATCAATCCTTTTCATAATGCCAGTTGCTGTCCCAACCTGTAGGAGAAATGATGCAGTTAACAGTTATGTATATAACCTCTTTGAATCAAATAACAGAAAATGTTGCAAACCTTGGCTAACCGCATCTCCCTCTCTCTCATTTCAATTTCAGCATGAAAATCTAATTGTAACTCGATCTTGTCCCAGAATAACTTTGAATCCATATCATTTGTACGATGACCCTTTCAATACACAAATAGAAGATTATTAGCCTTGGCCACAAAGTAAGAGGTCTTTTAATGTTAATATTATATGTGGACCACAGCGAACATGAAGATCATCAGGAGAATAGCGCGAAGATATTCTCCATAGCTATGTGAGTTTATCACCTCCATAAAAGTTCTATGACGAACACGAAGATCATCAAAGAGACGGCACGAAGACTTCTCTTTTAGTCATAGAAGTTTACAGAGACTCAACTACGACGAACACGAAGATCATCAAAGAGACGGCACGAAGACTTCTCTTCTAGTCGTAGAGAGTGCTCTAAACCGTTTTTAAGGCCCTCAGCAACAAACATTACGTACCTTGAAATTTTTATCCAATAGAGTAGCATAATTCTTGACTTCTGATGAGCCTTCTTTCATAAGATAATCGAGAGATCTCCTAAGTATAAAAGCTTCCTTCCGAAACGAGCTGGTAAAGTCATTTTCTTGCTGGCGATACTTGTAAAACTCGGAAAATTTCCATTCTTCAGGTGATATATTGATAAAATATGAGCTGACTTTAATTCCTGCCATCAAAGCTATGGTGTTGCAGTTTAGAGAGTTTATGAGTAGCAAGAGAATTTTTTATAATCAAAAAGGGTACATGATCATGTGTTGTACACATTGAAATTCTAAAAATAATTTTTCATTGCACAGCCCCATTGACACGATTAAATCATTTGGAAATTTATATGCAATTGGTTAATCAAACTTTATTTATATGATATAAAAAATTGCCAAAGTTATAGACCGTGACCCAGTGTCACGATTGCCTTATAACATCACATACTTAAAGAAAATTTAAGTTCCAATATCCTTTCTAACCTGAGATGCTACATATTTGATATTGTCCAAACTTAAATTCGAAATAGATGATGCCGTAAATGTTTTTATTCGTTGGATATATACCATCCGTTGATTTTTATCATCATTGATACGGAAAAAAAGGTCATAAACCTTTCGAGCTCTTTCCGTTTTCTTTCGAATTGTAGGTTTGGAAATCTCCTTTGGGAGCTGATCTCTAACTTCATTATTAATCTTTTTCTGGGCTTTGTGTTCTGGCAGATCTTTATACTGGGTAAGACGTTTTTCTAATTCCTCCCCAAAGTAGTAATAACTTCTTATTAGTTCGTGACGCGCATTATCGTTTTGTTTTTCATGTTTAACGTCACATATAGGACATTCTTTAGCCGATTGTGCTTGAAAGTTGATGAATCCCTTCTCGATTCTTCCAATCTGGAGCCACCCATATTCTGCAATAGCTAAATTAGCTCCTTTAACCAAAGCATCATCGTCATCAATAGGTTTAAATTCCTCTTCTGCTGGCTTTTCTTCTGAAAAGGTTCGTGGAAGGATTTCAGAATAATTCTCTTTAGGCTGAACCAGATAATCCTCTAGCTTTTGAAATCCATTTTTTACGGAAGAGATAGCAGGTCTTTTTATGCGTCCTTCTTTTGCTGATCCAAGGAGTCGAAGATTGAAATGTGTTTTGGGAAGGCCAATATCAATAAATTTCGAATAAGGTTCCCCAACTAATTCCATAACTTTTTCTGTGAATCCCTTAAGTTCTCTATAATCTATGAATTGGGCACGAGGATAAATAATATGCCAACTACATTTCTCAGCATTTGATGAACTAGCTACGGCAAAAGAATTTAAGAAAGGCATACAATCTGGAATAAGGCTTAATGCATCTGCACAAGCGACTAAAATTTGAGATATCAAATCTTCTCGGGTAATTTTTTCATTATCTAAAGAAGGAAGCTGAGGATTATTAGAGTCAGGCTTTTGTCTTGCATCAATGTCAATTATTAAGCGAAGAGGCCTGTTGCCATCAATACATTCATGAGTATTAGGTATTCCATAAACTTTGCTAGGATGATCAATCACTGTATAACCTTTTTCCGCCATTCGAATTATATATTGAGAATGAATCTCTTTGGGTTGGTATGCATCTAAAAGTGCCGTATCATTTCTATCAGCAGAGCTGGCGTGACTATTAGATGCAAGCCAGTATTTATAAAATGTATGTTCTGTATGGCCAGGTTTATAATCAAGATCCGTTAAACCCATAAAAAGCCTTTTTGCATCATTATATTCGGCTGACTTTTGATTTAAGCACTGTTGTTGTAATGATTCACGAAGATGTTTTTTTGCTTCACTAGACAAACTCATGTATTGATTTGTATATATGCGTTGTTTCTATATGCGTGTTGTTTGATCTGACAAAAAGTATATGTAGTATTATTTTGAAACTATATTATCGATAGATAAATCTTTAAAATAAAATTAATTATTCCAAAAATTTGATTGAAGTTTATTATATATACTTATGATGAAATTATACAATTGCTCACAAATTCGTAGAACTGGAGAAATCTGTGGTCGAAATAGTAAATCAGAAAAATGTTATATCCATCGTAAATCTCCAGTATATACTCCTTGTAGAGATTGTGGCGAGTCAAATAGGTCTAAATATAATGCATGCAATGATCATGTAGGCAAATATAAAAGTAGAGAGAATTACAACAGAAAAAAGCAGGATAAATTGTGTATACAAATTGCTATGATTGAGAATCGTATACCAGACTTGCCAGGTTTTGGGTACGACCTATAGTCTAGGTTTATTACTTTTTCATCCATGGATAAGGCAGTCATATCTCCTAAGATCTAGAGCACTGTGTACTCTGCGAAGCATTATCGAAAGGGCGGGTAATTAATTTCGAATTTGAAAGAATATATTTCATACATAGTCATAGTTACTTCTACTATTCATACCCACCAGTTATACCTACTATTAAAATGTCTGCCATCGCAAGTGAAATCGTAAAAAAATATAGATTAACTCCTCAGATGGAGCCGTCTCAGCTAAGTGCCTATGCCAATGAATTCCGCACTAAAATTCCTGACTGGCGCATTCGTAAAAATGCAAGAACCCGTCTCCGAGATCTTAAGTTTAGCCCAGAACAAATATCAGCACTCCTGCCAGATCAAAGAAAACAGAGCAAGCCAGATACTGTAAAAAATAAAGTTCAAAAAATTATGGAATCTACTGATCCAATTGGCGAAGCGTCTACTATAATTTTTCTTGAGAGTACATATGCAACACCAGAGAATGTTATTGCAATTGATTCAGAACTCAAACGTATTCGGCATGGTCTGCGTGAAAAAGGGGCTTCTGAAAAGGTAATCGATGCTTTACAAGACACTGATGGTATCACTCGGGAGTCAAACAGGAAACAATCTGAAAATCGCAAGCTTCGTGCAAGAATTGGAATTTCCCCTTCCGAACATTTTAGTTTAGAATCTATAAATGCAAGACTCCAAAGCTATGATACTGCTAAATCGCCCGACATTCAAGCTCTTGCAGATGTAATGGTAATGCTCTGTATGAGGCCAGCTGAAGTAACAACTCTCTGAATTTCTTATTTCGAATCACCAAATGATGATGCAGTGCATCGAGGAAACAAAGCTTCGAGTCAAGGACTCATCTCCGATTCTCTTCCTGAATGGTGGGTTCCTGGATGTAATTGGTATGCAACCAGTTATGCTAAAAATCATAAAAACCATCCTCGGGAATTTCTTTCGATGGAAAAAAATCCAGAACGTGCTTGCCAACTACTTACCTGGATCCAAACAGCAATAAAAAATGGCCATTTACGCAACCCTGGTATTGTAGGTGTTAAATGGTTAAATAAATTTCTGAAAAAATATGAGTCAGAGACTCTATGCTCCGCATATAATCTTAAGCCAAGCGATTTACGAAAAATTGGTGCAGATCATGCTTGCATAGTACATGAAGGACGCAATGATGCTGATAGATTAAATATCCGAAGAAAAGCACTGAGGCATTCTCCAGATGGTCCACATTCCCCTGCAGAAAACTATGCTATAATAAATGACAGGCGAAAAATTCTTCCTTCTGAGCCAAAAGATAAAGTTGATCGTATCCCTTACAATGATTTGATTGAGGAACTTGATTAGAATATGTGCCTATTTCTTATGAAATGGTATTACATAACTGGCACTAGCTCCGCTATAAAATACCTGCTCCGCTAAAATGTAAATCGTATATTAAAGTTAACAGGTGCTAATCGGACCATGTAAATGTTCTAGGGATGATTCTTTACAAATAGGCTTCCCGCTACTTAAATCATAGTAATATCCTGCCTCAACGTCATTATCAGAAAATATTACGCTCGTATAATTGGGTAAAATAGAAATTGGAGGACAGGCTTTGTTAGATGTATTTACCTGGATTTCTGGTGAAACCTTTTCAGGAAATGCACTTATCTCAGTTTCCGGTAATTTTTCTGAATCGTTTGAGATAGATGGTTCAATCACGTGTGCATTCTTTTTTGGAAAACGATTTATAATATTTTGAATTTGAATATCTTTTAGACTTGAAATAGCACTTGCACTATAGGTTACTTGCCTGATTCTATCCATCCCAATTCCTTCAAACAATATATAGATTTTTTTAGCTCTAAAAGTTATTTTACGCAAGTTTACATCAGTAATGTCAGGTAGAAGTGATTTGATTTCATTATATACCGATGTCCTTGCAGATTTATCGTCAATTTTTTCTATAGACCTAATATTCCCGATTCTATCCTCATATGTTTTATAATAACAATACCAGTATAAAATCTCCTTTTGTCTAACCTTCATTGCTATATTAAATAAATCAGCTATATTTTGTGCCGTAACTCTACTAGATTCTGTTAGAATTACTTCTAAAGATAATTCAGGAATTTGAATATCAAATGGTTTATCGGATGAAAGTCCGTGTATTGCGTTATTTTCGATATCATTGTCTTCGGCACAAACAGATAACTCATGCATTAGGCCTTGTTCTACTTTCTGATTATAAGGAATTTTCTGATCAATGGACACTTGCTCCGATTCAGCAGAAGTTTGAGATGAGTCTCCAACCTTAGGCTCTGCCCATTCCGATTGAATAGTTTTTTGTATTAATTTTTGATCTTGGATTTTCTTTCCCTTATTTCTCTTTCTTATTATATTACTAACTCTTTCTTTTTCTTTCCGATCCATAAAATCATCAACCACTTTATCTTCTGATGATTTAGTTTCTGTAGGGATAGGAGATGTGGAGCATCGAATTTTCAACTCCTGACATACATCAGAATTAGATGCGTTATCAGATGTATTTTCTATTTGCTCAGAAGTTTGTTCCACAGGAATAGTTTCAGGGATAATGCTAGTAGTTACACAATTATTGGTTTGCTTTTTGATTTCCTCAATAGCATGTTCTAATTCTGCAATTCTAGCGGTAAGTTTTGCTTCCCTCATCTGACTTTGTTCTAATTCTGTGATCCTAGCCATAAGTCTGGCATTCTCTTGTCTTAACAAATCTAATTCGGCTTTCATGTTCGCTAATATTTTTTTATATAAGAAATAGATATATTCAAAATATCGTAAAAAATATCACGTGCGTTCCAATTTGGAACGGAGAAAGAAAAAAATTCATGACTTCACGAATACCATTTCTTCCGAAATAAGAGGTGTATTGTTGTTAAAAAAGACCTTTCGGAGAAGCAATGCTTCGAGTCTCTGACTCAAGTGAACTCCATGCATTAAGCTTTTTTTTGACGTCAATCCAGGAAGAGAGATGGTAAAGATATTTCCGGTTGTATTAAATGTGTTTCATATTCTTCCCGCTATAATAAATATTGTAGTATAGAATATGCGTAGCATAGGCACATAGTGCCATATAACCAAAAAGTTGTTATACGATTAGCTCCGCTATTAATACACAGTAAAGAAAAACCAGAATTGAAAATTTAATAATTATCTTAGACAGGTCAGTACGCCTATTCTTCCTCATTTTCACAATTCGTGGGTTACGGATAATGGTGCTTCGTAGTAGAGAATAAGTAATTAATTCCGATTTGATTTTTTTCTCGCTCAAAGATATAGTGTATAATAACCAAAATGTTGTTTGTAAATTGCGCAGTCAAAGAAAAATCTCCTATTGAAACTTTAATTGATACCATACCAAAACTATAAAAGATTGCCCGTAGAAAAATAAACATATATTTGGCCCCACAACTGGGTATTAATTATTCCAATAATAAAATGGTTAGTGCAGTCTCATCATCTTGACATGTGTAAAAATATCCGAATGAAAACAAGGGTGTAGATTACGCAAGTTAATTGTTATAATGGATTCTAACTTTATTCCTATTAGATCGATTAATATAATCACAAATCAAAGCTGACTATATTTCATCATTAATTGTTGTTTGAATAAACCTTATTACTGAATAAAAATTTTCTAGCAGGTTCGATGACTTTCTTTATAATGCTACGCATGGATATATCTTTAATGTGAAGACAGTTCTATTGGTAAAAAAAACGTGATATATTTCTTAGTGAGTATTATAAATACGCCTTGAATCCATTTTTCGCCACTCTTTACTTCCTCACTATAATATTCAAAAATTAAAACGAAGTTTAAAAACAGACTTTAAAACGTAATCAAAATAAACAAAATCTAACAAATATTATACATATTCTAATTTTTAATCAAAGGTATGATATTCCGGAATAAAAACATTTATTTACCTAAGCACTGATCATTTTTCTTTTTGACATTGTATAATCCCACATATGTTAATTTGTTTTCTTTTCATAGATGTCTCAAATCAATGTTTCGGACATATTACCTTTATTATCCTTGATCGCCATTCTCACATGGTTTTCTATCAAGAATTATTTTAATGAAAAAAATGCCCATGATGTTGATATCTTAAATGTTATCAAGCGACAAGTTACCGAAGAAATCATCTTATACGATTCTAAACTTGCTGAAGGCATCGCTAAGCTGAACACCGAATTTAACACGCCTCACTTCAGAACTTAATTCACGTGATGCTAACTTCACTGCGGAGGCGCAGAGAATCTTGTCATTGATTAATTCTTTTACCATGAGACTTGGTGAAATTGAACAAGTTCTTGAACGCTACAATAATCACTTTGGTAGAATTTCATCCGAATTTGATTCAATTAATGAATCTATCACAACATTCCAAAACCTATTTAATCAACGTCATGCAATCATCCAAAGAATCGAACAAGATCAGCAAAGTGAAATGAACCTATCTGAAGATTCTTCCAATTCACACAATTCCTCTATTAATTCTTATTCTCCTAATTCCTCTGCTAGTTCTTCAGGTATGATGGTGAAGCTGGAGTTACCATTACAATTTAAAAAATCGACTAACTTGACTAACTTGACTTTTTTGATCATAGGATCAAAGCCAGCGATCATTTTCAGGAATTACATTAACTATCTGGACTCGCTTTAAACAGATCTTCGATAGGGAAATGGCTCAGAGAAGATATACTTTTGACGAAATGTGTTATTCCGTAGCCATGCGCATTCGTGAACTTGGGGGAGATATTAGGCAATCATTTATATCGTACGACATTTTAATGGGGCTGAGTAAAGATAAAATTTTGATATGTGTAATGCCTGACGCATGCATGTTTATTTGTGCGATTAACCAAATTCGATTAATTACTCATGTACATACTTTTTCTTTGTGAAATCTGCATTCTTTTTTACTTTATCTCTGCATTATTCATTCGATAGATCTAGAGGAAACATGGAAGAAAAAATGTTTAAAAAAGGACAGTATTCGAAATATAAATATTTATTGCTTTGATTTTTATTTCTTGCGCTATCTCGTCATATTAACAAATCTAATATTATTTTTATAATTCAAGTTAACAACGTAAACATGTCAAATTTAGTAACTAAGATTGAAACATTTTTATTATTAGAACCATTAGATATTCTTTGTGGTGCGTCTGCAGTTTACCTAACAATAGAAAACGACACTTTACCTCCTCTCGAGAATGTAAGAGATATAGTAGATCGTGCAGTGAATTCGTCCTTATTAAAAATAGAAGAAAATGAACGAAAAACAAAAGTCTTGGAAGTATTATCTCAAGTTAGTATAAATTATATTTTTATCACATAAACTCGCAATATTTAATGATGACTATGGTAAAATGTAGATAATAGTTTTGGTGTGTCATAGCTGAAGGTCAGGGAATGCCAGCCTGGAAGAGCAATGTCTTCTAGATGTTGAGGGTTTGCTCCTCCCTAACTGTGCGTGACTATTCAACCAAAACGATGATATTTAAATTTCTGAAAATGCACATGTGCGGAGCGTAGTATATGGACAAATTGTAATACAAGATCTGACTTAATGTGCCGGCACTGATTTTTATTGCATTTACCATAGATTTGCAGGTGGATATATTAGCGTTCGGGGTTTGAAAGCATTCAATGTGTTAAATATGGAAAGAGAACTTCCTCTGGATTACACTCGTGAGAAGATTGAAGAGAATATTATTAATTTAAAATACAAGCTTGAGGTAAGTCTTAGATAGTTTAACAGAATGGAGTAATTTTTTTTTTTGTTTGAAATATAACGAAACTTGCGTATTTAGCATCCTAGATCGGAAGTTGATATAAATCTTTACGGTTCGCTCAGGCAAGCTCTCGAAAATATAAATTCTTCAGAACTTACATGGCGGGACCCTGAAGCGAGTATGGTTCTTAGCGATGATTCGGATATAGTAAAAAACTTGCAACCTAGACAGAAGAATGTTTTCTTGGAACCGCGAGAAAATATGAAATGTATTATTCCTGAATCGATCAAAGCAAAATGTAATGAATTTGTAAGTGGCTTTAATAATTCGAATACATTACACGATACTAGAAATATTTTTCACGACAAAAGTTGGAAAGAAAGTGAGAGTAAGTTGATGGAAATTACCGGGCGTATTCTTAGTACACTGTAAGTGTTATTTTCTATTCTTAAACGATCATTATTTTAAATATCATAATATTCCTAATATACTTTTTATTAGTGGCGAGATATGGAGTAACCCTGCATTCACGAGTAGCGTATCACGTAGTGAACAGAGTGAAGGAACATACATTTCGGACATTATAATGCCTTTGCTTCGATCGAGTTTGGGAGACCTTCTCAACGGTAGTATCTGTTTAAGTACAGCAGAACGCCAGAGCATAGCAAGCAAGGCTAGACGAAATGCGGGAGTGGTCAAAGAACGAATGGGGAAAAAACCCGACATCATGGGGTTGTTGAAACAAAATGGAAAAATTATAGAATTGATGTATACCGAGTCTTCACGCATTATTTGCAGTAAATCGAAGAAAGCAGATGATGAGGTGAAATTATGGAGAGAGACTTTGGATGGGGTGAGCTTCATAGACGCATTGTGTAGACCGGTTGGCAATCAATTCGGAGTTGTTGGAATTCAGATCGCCGGTACTACTATGCAATTAAATATCCTTGTGAAAGATCTGGGGGGTATATCAAGATATTTTCATCTCGATCACTCCGAAATTCCGTTATCACCACATATATTGCATACTAAATCTCTTATTCGTTTATTATTGACCTTGAGAAATATCGTGATTGTGAATAAGAGCTTACTAATGCATGCGTTAGATCAAGCCATTTCACATCCACCCCGGAATAATTATTCAAGCACAACCATTTCTTCACCGCCATATAATAAATATTAGGTAAAATAGAAAAAACATTATATTATACTTTTATTCATCTCTGTATTAATAAAGTCGACCTGGTAGTCGAGTTTTTTTTATTATATATTCAACGTAAGCACAAAGTGTCGAAAAAAAAGCTAATTATTTCACATATCAAGAATATCTGAATTGAGATTATTTACCTCTAAATATCTGCATACTTCTACATAATCAAATATCGCTTTCGTATCTTGCGTATTCCTATTTATGATTGTTATAAAATTTTCGTCGATTACATGCATATACTTCACCAGATTTTTGAATTGCATATACTGCGTAGGATTCATGGTAAATTTACCTTGAGATTTACAAGACATATTTATGTATAGTGATCAGGATATTCAAATTTTTCTCACGCACTCATGTAATTTTATCTTTCGTAGGAAGTGCACTCCGTGCATTAACTCAAACTTTTGAATATATCCGTATTTTACATAAAACAATGGTAAACACTCAATCCCAAATTGACTCGTTGAGAGAATTGAATTCTAAGCTCGTAGCTGAGATTGCTAACCTTAGAAAGGAGAATACTGAGATTCCTGAACTTAAAAAGGAGAATGCTGTACTCTTGGCTGAGAATGCAAGGTTAAAACGAGCCATGGAAGAGCATGAGGCCAGATTCGCAAAACTAGAACAGAATGATAAAGACAAAACTAGCCTTATTGCTAAACTAGATGATGATATCAAGGAAATCAAACAGGGCCACTCTGAAAAAGAAACTTTGACTTACTGCGAAACACCCGAACAAATAAACGATAAATCTAACTCTGATATATATCAGAAGTCAATAACACAATGTTATGCATCACCTATCCACACAGAGACTAAATCGTTAGAAGAGAAAGAGTATGACGAATTCCTGGAATCAGAACATAGAAAAAATGTTGGTAATGAGATAAGAGAGAGAAACCGGGAAAAAAAAATTCGAGCTCAGGAGTCTCTCTCAACCTCACAGGCTACACCCTCTAACATGCAAATGTCTATCGATCAGAATGAGAATCAAAATATTTCAGCCGGGGGCCTAGGCCAAAATTCTACAATCCTTACTTTAGCTCAATTATTTGATAAAGCAATTGATGCCGAATGTGGTGCAATTCGTGCTAACCAGGAGGAAATTTTACGCTGGTGTTATTACGGAAAGGAATTCTTAATTCAGGTTAGCGAAATTATAAAAAATAGTAATGGCAAAATTGGTGAGAAAAAAGCTAAAGGTATAGTCTATGATAAGATACTAGAACACATTTCTATTATTCGTAAAAAGAGATCTGAAGATACAGGTTTACAACTTCCAGAAATTTCACGCAAATACTTACAGGGGAAAACCCAGAAAGCTGTAAAAATATATAAATTATTTGAAAAAATAGGTATAGATAAAATTAAGTATATTAAAATATACAGTGCGAACTCTATTTCGGAATTAACTAATGACAAAATCCAAACAATTATAAATCATTTCTCTAAAAATATTGATACCGATTTACCTGATAGTTCTATTAACAATTCTTCAGATGATTTACCGGAAACTGAGGTGTGTGTTCCAACCACTGCCTCTATTCCATTGACTCATATCCCTAATTCTTCAGGTCCAGATGATTTTCCGGAAGTTGAGTTAAGTGAATCTACCATAACTCCTATCCCTTCTGCTCATATCTCTAAATCTTCAGGTCTAGGCGATTTGCCAAAAACTCAGGTAAGTGAGAAAGTAGAGCTTCGAATTTCTGATGAGTCAAAGACTCTGGGCTTAGCCCATTCATCATCCATATATCAGGGGTTTAACTCAGATTTCTCTGACAATGATGAGGTAAATAATTGGAGTGCAACGTACTCTGATAACGATGATGAGGCAGGGTATTATTGGAATCCGAGTACTGGAAAGAAAATTTATAAAGAATCTATGGAATTGACATGCTCTGCATGATCTACTATATTCTGATCATTAATACTTCATAAAGATTGCTCAACTATAGTTATTATCTGTAATTTGGCTATATACGCATATATTCCAATTTTTTTGTGCAATGAAAATTTATTCCTAGAATTTTAATGTATACGACACCTGACCATAATAACAATGCATGATTGATTTATTTCTGCACACGGGGTAATTATTCGAATTTGGTTAACGCATACATTTTCTTTGTAATAGTAATAGTAATAGCTAGGGGTAAGTAAATAAATGGGGGGACAACTCGATGTTACACATATAGATCTTGTGAATCCAAAACTGTCACGCCT